TATGAAGCCTCAACAAATTACAAAGGATTTGAAGAGGCAGAGACAAGTAAAATTGCAGAAGGGAGGTAAAAGCGGGGGTAGGGAGCCCACCTGAAGACCACAGTGAAGCCTTCACCCGCAACCCCATCTGTCACAAAGTGATGAATAATCCAAGGGATTGGACCATTAAGTCCTTTAAATTCAATTTATAACATTTTATATCTTAAGGTATATAAAGTTCAAAACATAAAAGCTCCTGTGAGGAACTTAGTGTCTTTGTTAATTATGGTGCCCCCTGTGGGCCAAATGGAGATGATGCTGATTTTGTCACATTTGAGTAAAAGTGATATAAGTACAAAAATAACAAAAGAAAAAAATGTTACGTGCATTAATAACTGTCAGTCTTTATGACAATAGCCTTCTGTCCTTTTCTTCATCACTGTTATGAAACAACCATGTTAGGAAATGATGTGTTTTTAGCTGTAGGAACTTCACACTCATTAAACATTAAAATAAAACAGGTGACTGAAAATACGAACAGGGACGTAGAAGAGAAAAGAAACTTTGAAGCAAATCTATTCAGCGAGAAGCAACAACATACTGAGATGCGTATACATTGACTTGTAAATACATCTTTCTTTACTCTTGTTCACAGATATGAGGTTAATTTTACATCATAGGCTCATCTGAGGGAGATGAGGAAGGACTGTGGAGGGACCCCTCTTTATTCTTTCTTACTTCAATAAGATACCATTAACTCTAAAAAGAAAAAGAAAAACAAAAAAAAACTAAAGTAATGAAAGTAATACGTCACATCTTTCACCCCAAACACACACACACACACACACACACACGGATGGCCTCACTATACATTTATTCATCCCCCTCTCCTCTCTCCTCTTCTTGCTGTACCAGTGTAGTGAATATGAATGAAGCCAAAACAGAACAGTGTCATGCATATCAATGTGTCCTCAATAAATTATGAACCAGATGTAGAGAGAAGGGAGGAGACGAAGCCCATATTTCCTGCTGTGTGGCCAAGAACTCACTCCAGAGTAAAAATATATGGAAAGACAGAAATAAAAAGAATTACAATTTCCTGGAGCAACCTGACAAAATAAGGTTTCAGCGTTATAATGAGCTATCTCAGCACACATGCTCGCTTTCTACTCCCCCTCTTTCCCTGGACCCAATCATTTTCAACATACATTTGTTCTCACCGACTATATTGACTTTCAGCATGGGGGTTCCTCGAGTACTTGAACAGATTCTATATTGACATTATGGAAATACGCCATACAAAAATACATTTCTCAAGATTTTATATTTGAGCAGCTTACATCATTTTGAGTATTCTGCCCTGAGATTAACATACACATTATTTTAGTTTGCTAGTTTAAATCTGGTGGCAAATGACAAGCCTACTGCAAAAGTGCAGGGTAGTTTTAGGGTCCAGCAAATAAAGGAGGCCTATCACAATTGACTGAATTTTATTACTAGGGGAGACTGGGGATGTTTTGTCTACAGAGTACCCTAATTTGTTTGTTACATAATAAACTTTGAGAGACAGCAGCTAGCTGAAATGATATTTTCTGACCACAGAGTGAGAAACACTATGGTCTTTTTGATCTGAAAATCCTCATGTACTGCCACTGGCATAATACCATCAAGTTACCCAGTGTGCAAGACATCCTGTCTGAAAATTTGGCAGTACAATCAGTGATAGTCAGATTTTAACATGCACATTTTTTTATCATTATATCACATTTTTTATTTTTTTTTTATCATTACATATCGCCTACATTTATTCATGAATAGTTAAATGTGTTATTCTTTGTGACCATTGAAGATGCTCTTTTTCTTACTATAGCAGGTTAATTTTAGACAGTCGTTCTTTGACACAGCTTTTAGAAAAAAACTATTTAAATCAATAAAATACAATGAAGGCTAATCAAAGAGATGATTTCAAATAGTTAGTGATGTGTTACAGCCCCCCATTTCTGTAAACCAGTGTGTAGCTCGCTGTATTAGTATGAGAAACTGGAATTAATCCAGTAAAAGTCATAGGATTTCATCATCAAGAGTATAGGCATAAAACAAAATATGGTCTTCATCAAAAAAAATTACTTTAATTTCTCAACATTTTTCCTTGGTATAACAAAGTGGCAAACATTCTTGTGAAATGAAGTTGACAGAGAGGTGCTAAAAACTGCAGGTCATCAGAGGTGATGTTTCTTGGTTAAAAAAAAAAAAAAAAACATTTTTAGAGTCAAAATCACCTTTACAGCCTAGTTCAAAAAAGAGTTGAGGTGTTAAAAGCCCAGGGCTCCCACAGCACCAACTATACAGGGAGGGATGTTATTTTTACTGTTGTCATTTTAGAAGGTATTAAGGTTATAAGATTGGTAAATCAGAGTTACGGCTGACATGACTGACAGGGGGGCACACAGGGGGGACTTTTAACTGCTAACTCTGTCTGAAGGTAACAGCACAGCATAAGGTAACATAGTTTACTTTATTAAACTCAAGTAAACCTGCAAAAAATGAAACTGTAAAATCACGTTGCTTTTTCACATACAGTAGACGCTCAAGGGTCACTGAATTATATCCAAATTAGCGGGAAATAGGCCACAGAAAGGCAAAACAACCTGTAGTAAGTCTGTTGGTTTTCTATATACTGACTTCTGACCATATTCCTTGGCTTTTTCTGAACAAAACTGTGTGTCCTGCTGCTTCACTGATAAGTCCTCTGTAAACAAAGTCCAGAATAAGCTGGATCTGCAGCTCCACTGATACTGACACCTGAACTGAAAACATCCAAAAAGGCCCAGTACCAAGAGCTCGAAGTTACATCATAACAGCAGCAAGAATTTCAGTTAAAGCATGACTAGGGTTGTGTCATGTCTACAAAGCTGTGTGAAAAGTAACACCCATGAGCAGCTCCTGACTTTAAATCAGTGGAGTGGGTCTTTAGTAATTCTTGCAATCTCTTTCTATTTTACTTAGATTTACATTTTTGTGTTTGAATTGCCACAGAAACACCTGGATTTATCCAAACTTATTTTACAGCATATAAAATTAGACCACTATTAAAAGGCAACAGTGTGTCTAATTTCCTGTTATAGGCCAAAGGAACCAATTACAGTCATGAAAGTGTGCTTGTGAATGATGATACAGCTGTTTGCACAAATCCTTAAGTGCTTCTGTGGTACTCAGTGAGCAGCATTTCAAACTGTATCTTTAAGAAACACTAATGATAATCCCAATTTATTAGAAAAAAATCAGAATAAATCAGACTTCCCCTCTTTCAGTCATATTAACACTGTAAGAGTAATGAAAGCCTCACTGGTGACGGTGATGTGAATTATAGATGAGAGGTTTTGGATGAACCCTGATATGATAAATTAGCTCCCCTGTCAATAATACCTCATTCCTCTTGACACAGTTGTTACCATCAGTATATCTGACCAGACAGCTACACTTCAGTGATAGTTTCTTCTGAGTTGGGACAGCCACACAGTCTTACCTGGCACCTCATCTGATCCACAGTAGTTACCTAATAGCTACAGTCCAGTGCCAGTGGACTAGCTCCTTTTGTTTTTTAAGGTCAGTGTTTCTCTGGCCCTGTGTCCCACTGCTACAAGCTGAACATGATCTGATAACGAGAAACCACTAAGCTTTGATTAATTCATTAAATTGTCATGAGCTTGTTTTGCAAAACCACAAGCAGGCCGCGGGTTTCCACAGGTTCACACCCATGCTGCACGGATGCATGACTAAACACACGTAAACCAAGATGTAGACACACACTTGCACACAATCAGGTTTCACATACACACAGAGCAAGCATTTGATCCACCTGCTGCTGTTTAATTGATGCTTATCCTTTACAGTGGAAGTGGATCCAAAAGGGAACTGCACAGATCACCTGGGCTTCCTTGAGCTTCATGTGATACTGTCTGTGAGCGCCTCTGTGAACAATTCAGAGACTAATTCATTTATTCTCTCATCCTGTATCCACGTCTCTCTACCCTGAGTGTGTGTGTGTGTGTGTGTGTGTGTGTGTGTGTGTGTGTGTGTGTGTGTGTGTGTGTGTGTGTGTGTGTGTGTGTGTGTGTGTGTGTGTGTATAGCCCCCTCCCCCCTGTGCTGGTCCTGTGCACAGACCTCAATCTCATTAAGACACCTCTGAACTTTCCTGAATGTCACGGTCCTGTTACCTGAAGCGGCTGTGGGCTCAGGCTTTGAAGGCTTATTTGCTTCTCTGCAGCTGCCTGGCAATTAATTTCTGTTAGGAGCATGTTTCACATCTGGACAGCCTCGTTTATTCATTTACACCTTACCTGGTTTGGTAATTTACCTTTATTGCTTCAGGTACAATTTCCTTTCTTGAAACAAAGCTCAGTTTTCAACCTACATTCACAAAACCTCAGATTTGATTGTCAAAATCACAAAAGAAAATCGAAAACAGTCCATTTGAGTCTGAGAAACCTGGTTTAGCTACCTGGGGAATCAGAAATTGAAGAGGATACTGTGACATGTTTGAATCTTATCCCCATGCTTGTTTTGTGCAGGTTCAGGATAAATGATGAAGAGATGAGGATATCAAACGTTTTCTGTATTTCAACAGCAACAGCTGACAAAATTCCACGTACAGCACGCTTCAATACAAAGACTATAACCCAATCAGGAGCAGTAATCTCTGTTTCTCATACATGTTTGTCTCTCCTCCTTCATATGATGTCTGTATTTATTCAGTTCATGCTCAAACATGCAGCATATGATGAAAGGAGTCCAACTCACACTTGTAGAGTTTGTTAAAGCGGCACGTGTATGTATTAACTAAGGTTCAGGAGCAGGACCACGCCTCACCACACCTTCAATCACCTGACTAGCATATTTATACACAGCCAGCCCACTACACTCCGTTTGACTGCAATTACTTGAGGAAGACAGACAGACTGTACGCTGAGCCCTGCCGCTCACTCGCCTTATAGAAACAAGTGAAATCAGCCACTCAACATGGAACTCCAGCTGCATGACTCAGATGAGGATCTGTATGAAGAACCGTTCCAAGACAGTTATCCTTCACGGAAGAGCAGCAATCAAACCACAGCCATGCGTCACAGCGGAGCCGCTCGCGCTCCATGCGCTCCCCGAAACATCAACCTGACGGTTCCCATCAGATCCCCGGCCACATCCCCACCAAGAAGATCTGTAGACCAAAGGAGCTTCAATCTCAACAACCTAATCTGCCGGTTGCTGATCGTTGAGAGCGGCGTGGTGGAGAACAATTGAACATGCCACGGCGTAGCCTCGCCGAGACGGCCGACTCCGCGCTCACGACCCGAGGATGACCTCAGCAACGGCACGTCACCCGCCTCCATCGATCCCTGAAGACAATAGGCATCCCATCTCAATGCAGCGACAGCAAAGCAAGGCTATTCCCGCACTACAATTCCTCCACAACACCTCAGCTACAGCGAAAATTCTGCGCTTCCCCACCAGAGCCAACCAACGCCAGAAACGTCATGCGTGACGTCACTGAGCAGCTCCCTCGACTGCCACCTGCCTTATCAGCTCCCCCTGGCGGGGATCAGGTCGTATCACCCCCTGTGCCTGCTCCCGCTGTGTCTGACTTCTCAAGCTGTCACAGCTTTCTTCACTTCCCTGTGTTTGCAGGCTGCACAAAATTCCCTTGCACATACATCCTTTCACCCCAACATCCCCATGAAGTATGAAGCATGTTTACACTAATGACTGATCTGGTTTGTGTTGAATCTTTGTGAACTGAATTCTTGCTTTACTTGCTGCCTTTGTAAAGCAATTTGTAACTTGGTTTTAAATAAAGCTTTTTTTTATTGTATACATCAGTCCTCCTCGACAGCCCTCCAACTTCAGATTGAGAGAATTTATTCTCCTCTGCATGTTCATGAGAACTAAAAGTTCTCAGTCAGAGGGCTGCTGTGTTTTTTATTCTCGATATATTGGGGTCAGGGACGATGTTTTCAGCTGAATGCTGGTGTGTCCCAGTGCTTCTTTCTTTCTTTTTACCATAACCCTTAGAGCTCTGCACTGTTTCCCAATATCTGACATCTCTCCACTTCACTGCCAAAGTTTACCTCAAGTCTCCTTGTGCAGCCGTGTTTTTAAGAGGCAATACAGTATGAAAAAGGAAGCTGCGCATTTCTCTTATGAAGCAACTCCAGCACCAGGTGGGTACAGATAAGGATACGATGAAAAAAGGAAACTTTACACATGCACACACACACAAACATCCTTCTCTCTGGTTGTGTTTGAGTGCACACTTTTCAGAGGAGCTCAAACAAAAGCTCAACTCCACAATGGTTGTCTGTCACCGCAGTGTAACCCTGCACTGAACAGATCAGCTGACACACACACACACACACACACACACACACACACACACACACACACACACACACACACACACACACACACACACACACACACTTTATGGTTAATTGACTTAAAGTCATTTCAGTAAACTTGACAAAAAATGTGAGTGAGTGCAGACTTGTGTCAATACATGGCTCCATGATGATGTATTAGACAGAATGTGATGTCAGCCCCATAGTCAGTCATTTTTGCACATTTTAAAAAGAGTTTTGAATTATCACCTCTCTGAGAGTTGTGGTTTATTGTCAAAAGGATTAAAATCGCTGACCTTGAAACCTCAGGGCAGAACACTGTTACTGGGCACGCTCATTAGGGTTGGGGCTAAAGCAGAGGTGGCGTGGCCTCTGGCAGAGCAATGGACTGAGGCCTTTCTGAGTTGGCTTTGAGATGGATTTCATGTCTAAAGGGACGATGGTTGTTTTTGTGTGTATGCGTGCGTGCGTGTGTGCGTGTGTGTGTGTGTGTGTGTGTGTGTGTACCTAGCCTCCATCTGTCATCTCCACAGACATGATTTACACTGCAGCAGTAACCACACCCTGTGTAAGAAAGTGTACGGAACCCAGTTTAAGTTAACCTTTAAAAAGTGATTCTTTCTCATGCTTTCATTGTGACATTTTTATTGTTTGGTATTTAGGTTCCTCATTTCCATTTAAATATATTAATTTTGACGGGCTTATATGTAAGAAGAGTCCAAAAGCATGAACACACCCCTAAAAAAAGAAAAAAGCTGATGATGCGTTTGTGTTTGAAATAAATGATTTATTACACTGTGTCTCAGTTTGAAGATCATTTATAGGACTTTATAATAACAAAGTGTGTCCTGTAGTTGATTTTCAGGATGTGCTATAACCCCTATCCTGTCAACCAGTGTATGAGCATACTTGTTTGAGGACAGAAAAAAAAAAAATAATTTTCCTGAGATACTAAGATAAATCCAATATTCTGTGTACCGGCAGCAACCTCCAGTTTTGAGAAATAAATGTAGTGCTAAGAACTGCAGTTCCCCAACTGTCCACTTGGGGCTGTCTGTACAAATACTCTTAATCAAGAAGGCCAATTTTAAGGGGAAAAAATCAATACATTTACAGCTTGTTCAAAAAACATGTGTTGCCTGAATAGCTTGAGGCTCTCACAGCACCAACCACACAGGGAGGGAAGTTTTGGTTATGCATCTGTTTTAAAGATATTAAATCGTATCAGCAAAGATGATTAAAGATCAGCAAATCAGAGGTATGGATGACCTGACTGACAGGAGGGCACACTGCAGCTGTTTCATGGAGGCTAAAGGCCCGCCTCTGATAGGTTAACTGAGGTTAGGTGGAGTCAGCATTTCCAATATGGTGACCCCTGAGGATGGGCTGGAAAACTCCTCACAGACGCTATGTCCTGTAATTATACAGTGTATGGTTCAGTCCTCGTGTGGAGGGAGTCCCTGAGTACAACCAATCATAGACTCTGTCCATAGCCATGTGGATCAACACAACAGCCAATCAAGAATTGAGTTGACTGAAGAAGAAAGCGTGACAAATGCAGCCATGGTAATGGTGGTAAATGGGGCATAAACTGAGACAGACGTCAAATATAGAATCCACATGTTGAGGACATGAAGGTTTACACAACATTCCTGTCACTAAGAACAAACTGACCCTGCTCTTTACTGCGTTGGTATTAAGGTTTTGGCAGAGTGTTTGCTGTAGCAGACTTTTGTTCACACCTCATGTGGCTTTGCTTATCTTAGAAATAAACAAATCATACAATATCTCACTTCCTCATCACATTACAGACAAAAATACTCGATGAACTGCTTAGATGTGATGTGCTGATCACAGTGCATCATCCTAACTGGACAGATCTGTTCGGCCTTTGTTTGCACTTGTGCATTTTACACAGTTCATGAGCTCATTTGAGTGTGTGTGACACTGTTTCACTGCAGGCTATTACTGTCTATTTTAAAGCCGAGGCCTCTGTGACTGAGTCATGGAGGGATGCGTGACCCTGTAGATGTTGATGGCCTGACAGTGCGGGTGACATCTTGACATGCTGCAGCTGCAGATGTTATGTGTTCTCCATTGTATTTTCAGCCCCAGCTGGCTCAGGGGAGATGTGATTACAGGGCTCTGCAATAAGCCTGCAATCGGTAGTGGAAAGAACAAGGGCTGAGGGTAAATAATTGATGAAGACTTACTGTTTGAAGGCTTGAGTGACCGGCGGTCCGATTGTCTGACTGGCTGTTGTCCTGCAGAGAGAAAAGAAACCTCCATGAATTGAGTGGTTTGAATCAAGGCTTTTTGACTAACTTTTTTTGTGTTTGAGCTTGTTTTGATTTTTTTTTCTTTATTTCCTCTCATGCCCCCACTCCACCTGTCACCTCCTCTTCCATCTGCTTTGTCTCACCCCTTTCCTCTGCCTATGCTGCTCCTCTTTTCCTCTTCTTTCCTCTTGCTTTACCCTCCCTGCTCAGCTCCGGTGATATAAGGTATGGGGACAGCAACTGAAACCTGAGGGATTAAGTAAAGCTATCTTAGAACTGCAGGCTAATACACCAGTATCTGACACAGGCAATCCAAGTACGCAACAGACAAGCAGGAGATATAAAGTAGAGAGACAGAGAGGGAAGGGAGTCTGTCTGTTTTCAAGACCCAGGTTTCCAGGCACAGGTAACAAGAATGCAGCTCTCTCACACACACACACACACACACACACAGACACACACAAAGAAAGAGGTGACCACAAGCTCATATACTCTGCCCACACACCTGTGAAGAGAGAGCCGAGTGTGACACAGCTACTGTCAAGTTGTTCTCACGCTCAGGAAGCTAAAGCTCCTAAATTCAGCACCCAGACAACCCTCGCTGGTGCATATCCTCTCTCCAGGGTCGTAACTGTCCACTTATTTCTCCCAGCGTCAAAGCTCATTTTTATTCCCTCTGCATAGACCTAACATGTGCAGCTTAGAAAGCACCCTTTGCCATCAGAATATAAATAAGTGGATGCATAGCACTGCCCTTTTTCCTGTTATATAAGTACCTCTGTAATGCTAAGTTCAAAACTAAATCAAACTACAACTACAGCCTCACAGATCTAAACTTTACTGAGCACTGAAGATGCAGGTTTCTCCATTCCAGTTCTCTCCCTGATGTGATTACTTTCCTTTGAATTGCAATGATCAATACCTCATAATTATGTGTTGTAAGAGATACTTGAATCCTCTCAACAACATGAGGGTGGACTAACTGTCATCTACAAATGTCCAATGACCCCTGAACTGTTGATTGAAGACCCTTATTCTAAGCTATGACATAGATTTTCCTCTGATCCTCATTTGCTCATTTTTCACAGAAATCTGCTTGTTTTATGGACTTAACTCTAACGGGTTTAACTTAACCCGTAACTCTATAGAATGACCCCACTCCACAAAGAACAACTGTTTAACTAAACACCCCTCTTTTTTTGCAGCTTAACACAAAATGACAGTCCTCGTGCACCACAACACATTCACATTTTGCAATAAGTTCACTTAATTTTTTCAGTTTCTAAGATCATTTCCTGAATCCAAACCCTCACACGGGGGAACATAAAAGCCCACATTGACAGTAGGAGTAAAAACCCAATTTTTGGCGATGGTGAGGACGGCTCCGTGTGTCAGCTGTGTGAAAGCTGGGACAAACTTCAGTGGTAACTCACTTCACATTGACATGAAATGTCAATAGTGTTGGTTTTGAAGACACAACCATCAAACAAGGCTCCCTGGAGCTGGGCTCGTCATTCTCACCATTCAGTTTTCTGTCACATATACAGTCAGGTCCATACATATTGGGACATCGACACAATCTCTCTGGCTGTATACACCACCACAATGGATTTGAACTGAAACAAAGAAGATGTGCTTTGACTGCAGACATTCAGCTATAATTTAAGGGTATTTACATCCAAATAAGGTGAACGGTATAGGAATTACAACAGTTTCTATATGTGCCTCCCACTTTTTAAGGGACCAAAAGTAATGGGAGGACCAACTCAAACGCTATTTCATGGATAGGTCTAGGGTATTCCCTCATTATTTCATCATCAATTCAGCAGGTAAAAGGTCTGGAGTTGATTCCAGGTGAGACATTTGCATTTGAAATCTGTTGCTGTCAACTCTCAATATGAGATCAAAAGAGCTGTCACTATCAGTGAAGCAAGCCATCATTAGGCGAAAAAATCAAAACCAACCCACCAGAGAGATAGCAAAACCATTATGTGTGGACTAATCAAATGTTTGGAACATTCTTAAGAAGAAAGAACACACTGGTGAGCTCAGCAACACCAAAAGTCCTGAAAGACTACGAAAAACAACTGTAGTGGATGACAGACAAAGTATTTCCCTGGTGTAGAAAAAACTCTTCACAACAGTTTGCCAGATCGGGAACACTCTCCAAGAGGTAGGTGTATGTATGTCAAAATCAACAACCAAGAGAAGACCTCACAAAAGTGAATACAGAGGAATAACCACAAGATGTAAACCATTGGTTAGCCTCAAAATCAGGAAGACCAGATTAGAGTTTGCCAAACAACATCTAAAAGAGCCTTTACAGATCTGGAACAACATCCTATGGACAGGCGAGACAAAGATCAACTTGTACCAGAGTGATGGGAAGATAAGAGTATGGAGAAGGACAGCAACTGTTCATGATCCAAAACATACCACCTTACCAAGTTAGGCATGCTGGTGGTAGTGTCATGTATGGCTGCCATTGGAACTGGTTCCCTTCTATTTATTGATGATGTGACCGCTGACAAAAGCACCAGGATGAATTCTAAAGTGTTTCAGCCAATATTATCCGTTCATATTCAGCCAAATGCTTCAAAACTTACTGGACTAAGCTTCACAGTGCAGATGAACAATGACCCCAAGCATACTGCAAAGGCAACCAAAGAGTTTTTTAAGGCAAAGAAGTAAAATTTTATGAAATGGCCAAGTCAATCACCTGACCTGAATTCGTTTGAGCATACATTTCACTAGCTGAAGACAAAACTGAAGCGATATTGCACCAAGAAAAGCAGGAACTGAAGACAGTTGCAGCAGAGGTATGGGAGGCATCACTAGGGGTGAAACCCAGCATCTGGTGATTTGTATGTGTTCCAGACTTCAGGCTTTAATCGACTGCAAAGGATTTGCAACCAAGTATTGAAAAATGAAAGTTTGATTTATGATTTTTAGTTTGTTCCATTACTTTTAGTCCCTTCAAAAGTGGGAGGCACATATAAAAACTGTTGTAATTCCTACAGCGTTTACCCGATTTGGATGTAAATACCCTTAAATGAAAGCTGAATGTCTGCAGTCAAAGCACATGTTTCAGTTCAAATCCATTGTGGTGGTGTTTACAGCCAGGGAGACGAGTATTGTGCCAGCGTCCTAATATGTATGGACCTGACTGTAGGCTGTCATGGCCTCACATCCTCCTGACAGAAGGTGTGGGCATGTTTATTTTGTCTTTCTGCACTCTACAATTTGTTCTGTTTTATCAGCAGTGTTGACAATTGAGAGCACAGAGTACTCTGCCTGTGCAAAAGTCATGACTGTAAACAAAGAAAGAAAGATCCATGAGATAGAGAGGAAGATTGTTTAGCTCTCAACATGTGTTTATGTGTGAGAAGGGAAAACTTATTTAACATGTACTATGGACACCAAACTTTGTAGCTTGGCAGTTTTTGTTGTAAATGTGAAAAAGCATGACCCCCCACCACCACCACCTTCAAGGAGAAAGAGCCAGTCCATCCAAATAGTAAAGGCCTGATCTGAATCATTGCTGAGAGAGAGAGAGAGAGAGAGAGAGAGAGAGAGAGAGAGAGAGAGAGAGAGAGAGAGAGAGAGAGAGAGAGAGAGAGAGAGTATCTCACTGCTTGTTTTCTACTTTGTATTTCTGAAGGTGACTCCTGTCAGTTTTGTTTGCCAGGAAACAACAGAAAAATGCTCACCACTTAAAAAGCTTCTGAGTGGGATGAACTACAAACAGGGAACAGGACTGAGTGCTGACTTTTAAAGAAGACACATTTGAGTAAAGCCACTCAGAGATAACACAGTGACAGCACTCCTGTCTGCTCTTGCCAGTAGGTAAGAGGTTGGATATGTGAAAGTTTATGTTTTAGGATCATTTTGCCATGTTAGGAACCAGGTGGGACCACCTCAGCAGGTTGGTCTCTTGTGGTGCAATGGGGTACCTAGAGTGAGGACTGGAGCATGTGATGCATAATGTCCCTCTCTATCAAAATGGGAGCAGAAGGACTGGGCGCAATTACACTAAATTAATCCTTGTCATCAAATTGGTGTTTCTTTGATCTTTGATCAGTAAACTGAGAGTACTGATGCACCTGCTATGCTAAGGAGCATCCCAAAGCTGCAGCCCAGAGGAGAGAGGAGGAGGGGACAGGAGGTGAATCTGATGAGAAATGTGAGAAGATAGGGAGAAATCTGTAAACACACAGGCCTGCTCATCATAGCAAATGTGACTCACTGATTGGAGGCAGCAGTGAATCAGTCTTTACTGAAACATTCAACATCGCTGGAGTTTAAAAACCCATAAAATACTGAATAATATGCTGTTATGGTCCTTGGTTAAGGTACCCATTTTTATACTCTTTTAGTCTAGCATCACAAACTGCAGACCTGTGTTCAAGGTCGAAGAGATGTTCTCAGGTTGGCATGCTGTGAGTAGTCATGTGCTTCACTTTGGTGGTGGTATTAAAATGTCACCTACACAGCTCCTGCAATGGAACAGAGAGAGCAACCAAACTGGGAACTCCTGAAAACTGTAAACCCTTTACATTGACCAGGATTGATGTTATCTCAGAATATCAGCACACTACAGTGACACTGACTGAACGTTATGTACAAGAACGCCTGCACCTTTTGAAAGGTCTGGCAGCATTATCTGTTTAAACATTCAAATAAACACTGTGAACGTCTGTTCTACCTCTGAAGACTACAGTGGTGTAGCTGGCAGCAGTTACTGGAATAAAATCATCTAAAAGCAGGGATTATGATGTACATCTTATTGCATTGCCTAGACCTCCAAATGAAAACACTGTGAAGAATTTAAGAGTTTATTAAATAATAGGTAACTCAGGTATCATGCATGTTACACCTACTCTATCTTCATTAGGTCATTTGCACCATACAGAGTTCATACGAATGAATAAATCTTTGGACTTTTAAAATCAATGTTGAAGCATTACAACATCCACATGAGAGCAGATATCAGGAACATTATCACAGTGTCAGTGATGGATTGGAGAAGGATCTCAGACATTTGGACCACCTTCAAGAGGTTGATCCTTTACCGCGTAAGTTATAAAATCCATGTTATTGCTGATTTATTGAATAATCTGATTGAATAACATTTTACATTTTTCTTTTTCTCCTTTAGTGTCATTCTCCCCCTCCTCCTTCTGCAGGGCTGAGAGGCTGTTTCTGTCATTTGTTTCCATTAGGATCAGCAGCAGGCGAAGCTCTGTGTTCTGTCTGATGGCTACTTTGCTGATTGGTGACCCATTGCAACAACACAATAATGACGGGTCTGAGCAGAGAATACAAATGAAACAATGACAGTCCCTGCTGAATAACAATGTTTTTTTTTCTTTTCTTTATTCACTAAAATACACATATTTTGTTTTATTTGTATTTAATATTTATTCATTCATAAAGGAGAATATGAACATTAATGAACATGAGTATGCAAATGTGCCAGATTGTAGCCATGGGCTATTTTCAGTCTGTAGTCCCCAGCAGGTTGGTGGTACACATATTAATGTACATCAGGCATGCACATAAAATAATAATAAGGAGAAAGTGATAAACAAACACAACAGGCTGAGACCAGACAATACAGTACTTTTCAAAGATCCACATACTGCACTACAGAAGGTGGCTGAACAACTATGGTCAAGATGAATCAGAAATTAAGTTCATAACAGAGTTAAAGTACACAAAGTATTAAAAATGCTAAGGACAGGTTTGGAGTGCTCAAGTGTGAATGTGGTACAAACTAGTGCACAGAAACATTTATGCATGAACTATTGCAGAGGGATGGCATGCGTAGATGTGCTTAATACTGAACTAGGGTACATGGGTGGATTTATATAAGTGTATAAGTACCTTCATGCTGTAATAATGTGGCCACTGAAGATGTGTGAGATTCCGTCCTCAACAGCCAACAGGCTGGACAGGCTAGCCAACTCATACATCAGGAAATGGCTAGGCCTACCATGTTGCTTCTCTGACATAGGACTATTTGGCGCAAAGTCGCTGCAACTGCCTGTCCAGTCCATCACCCTGGGCTACAGGAGAAGGCCAGATTAGTCATAGAGCTGAAATAATCCTCAGATCCAACTGTAAGGAATTCACTTGACCTTGGAAGTGGCAAGCAGGCCAAGAAGTCGCCAAAGCCATCAGCAGGCTCCAACACCAGGAGATAGTTGGCAGGGTGCAAATAGGGAGAGTGGGGATTGGCTGGGGAAAGTCTCCGTGCCTCTGGTCCAAAGCTACAAAGAGGGAACAAAAGGCCATGGTTGTAGAAGAGGTGTCGAGGGCGGACCAGGAACAGTTCACCATCATGGCCTTGTCTTAAGGTCGCCGAGGAAGATGGACCACATGCGAAGGCACCCTCAATAGATCCATCAGCTGGGCGGATCTGTGGAAAATGCCACAAGTGAGGCTCAGCTTTCTGCTCAGGGCAACCTACAACACCTTGCCATGCCCTAGAATCCTGCACCAGTGGTTTGAAAAAGAAGAGAGCTTTCCCCTCAGCAGTGCACCTCATGCCAGCCTGCAGCACCTGTTGTCAGGCTACAAGACCGCACTGACACAGAAACATTACAGATGGCGACATGATCAAGTCCTGACGAAACTGGCCAGAGTCCTGGACAGCTGCAGACTAGATGCCAACAAGCAGCCCACAGCCAGACAGTCGTCCATCAGGTTTGTCAGGCAAGGGGAGGACAAAGGAGACACCAGTCGACAAGGTCCCCGGAGTGTCCTATCTCAAGCAAGGGACTGGAGTATGAGACAAAACAGCTACAGTTCCCCCCGTGAGATTACCACCACATCACTCCGGCCAGACATCATGCTCTGGTCTGCTGCTGCCAAGTCTGCCATGCTCATAGAGCTCACCATTCCATGGGAGGAGGGAATCCATGCTGCCTATGAGCGAAAAGCAGCCAAGTACTCTGACCTGGCAGCTGAGTGCAAAGAGGCCGGCTGGTCCACCACCATCTACCCTGTGGAAGTAGGCTGCCGGGGCTTTGTCAGTACATCGACGACAAAGCTGCTTTGTGATGTGGGAACAACTAGGGCCAAGCTCCGAAGAGAAACCAAGGCCCTCGGTGAGGAAGCAGAAAAGGGAAGCTTCTGGTTGTGGCTGAGGAGGAGAGATAAGAATTGGGGGTCAAGCTAATGAGATGGGTCAGCTGCAGTCTTGAATGTGAGTCATTGCTGACATGAGTAATTGGGCAGCTTCTTTGTCATTTTAGCAAGGATTAAAAGTAATGCATCATCTGCATACATTTACGTAACATTGGGGCAAGTAAAATTAATATAGAGAGAAAATAGAATAGGTCCAAGTGTGGAGCCCTGTGGGACCCTCCACTCATATTGTTAGTCAGTGGTTTCAAATGCCATCTTCAGATCTAAAACACAGCATCAACACAAGCGTTCTTATCCAGGACAGATTTGCAGTCACATGCAATGAATTAGACTTGTTGTGAATGTTTAACATAAACAAACAAACCAAAAAAAAAATGGAAATAAGGTTTGTTTGTTTTTTTAAGTGCTTTTTTGGTGGTCTTTGCACCAAATTTTTAATAAAAAAGCCAACATTATGTGATAATATACACACTTAGACGGTTTGAAGGAGAAAAGGACACTCACAAACCAAAAGATAGTGTAGCCAAGTATTTTCTGCTGACACTGACATCACTGAACATCCTTTATCTGGAGACTTCCTATTCCTAATCTGATGCTGTGTAACGAGATAAATGTAGTTTTGCAGTAAGATGAAGTTCTCTCTGTAATCACTGAAGGAATAAGACCAAATGAAGAGGTAAAAATTAATAGGGAAACATATATGTGTAGCTTAAACTGTGGATTTCTGTGAAAAACAATGATGAATATTCAATGGTTGATGCAGTCAGTCAAGCCGCTCTAGATAGTGACAGATTTAATAGTTAATCTCATTTGAAGGTGCTGAACACACTGACAAGGTGTAATGACACATTTTTCACACCAGAACATTTGATGTCCATGTAACGCCATCTGTAGACATGTGAAGTTGATATACATTGGCGTATCTTCTGTACTTCCCAGCTGCTGCCACATATGGCTTACAGTTATTTTACGAATGTGTTCACCTGTTTTATCTGTGGAAACATACACATGCCATTTTCAGTGTGAGGATTTCAGCGCAGCAGCTGGGTGAACACCATAGACTGTATATACTATGAACAACTTTGTTCCGCCTTCTGACAGTATACCCATTTATGGCTGAAAAGCTCTCAGTATTTCTAGGGTTTTTTCTCCACTAACTAAAACCAACATTGTGTACAACACTGCGTTGTACGCACTCCACCACTTGCGCAGTATTATTGCACGCATTTGGCGGGAGAGTTGCCTAGAGTCGCTGCAATGACGCTCGGCTCTAACAGCGTATCCCCCGAGTGAGCTACGCAATCTTCGTACATCTATAGGCTTTATCAAGTGTCAATCATAGAAAACATGAACCCCCTAATAACTTTTAAAAATGGAGCTGTACAGAAAAAAGAGGACTTGAGCACATACCGGTCTTACAGTAACTACATGTCAACTTCGCAACCAGGGGGAAGAAAACTGTTTATTCTGTATAATTAATTTCTAAAGTTTGTCCACAACTTCATAGAGATTGCTGGAGGAGGCGGGATTTATGACCTATACTGCAGCCCGTCACCAGAGGTTGCTGTTCATGCGGTGGCTTCATCCAGCGAGGAGGCAGACGGCGTCCAATATATACAATAATATACAGTCGATGATCTTGTACCTTGTAAGTAGCATTGTGCACCCAGGTATGGCTCTCCTAACCCTCAACAAGTATGAGGCTTTCTCTGCAGCCAGACTTTCTTGCAGCTCTCTGATGGCTTTTTTTCCCCATGTCCTAGTGATAGTCAAAGGGTTATTTGCCTTGCAAAGTGACTTTCCTGCAAAGCTCCTTCCTGTTTTGTTCTCTTTTAGACACTGTTTAGTATTCATGTCCAAATGTAATATTATATTGCAATGCAATAAAATGCAGGTTTTCTTTCCCACAACAAACTGAAGCAAAATATTCAATGCCCATCCCTGGCTCTTAAAAACATACATTCCCTCTCTCTCTTTAAGTCAGGCATGTCCAAACTGTTCCACAAAGGGCCATGTGGCTGCAGGTTTTCTTTCCAACCAAGCAGCAGCACACCAAACTTGATTCATTTCATTAGCTGATCTCAGTCTTCGGACAGCTGATAGGTCATACTGCTGCTCTTGATTGGTTGGAAGAAAAACCTGCAGACACACAGCCCTTTGTGGAACAGTTTTGACATGCCTGCTTTAGGTCTTTTTTTGCATCTATAACCAACATTTGCATAAAATAAACACAAATGTGAACAGTACTTCTAATACAGTCAAAAGTCAATACAAAAAAAGAAAACAATAGAAATATATGCATATAAACACATTGTACATCCATACTTTTATGCAATACTTATATGTGTATAGAAACACATCCACGTAGACAAAAAAGCTCCAGCTCCATCCTGTGCAGGCATTCTCCATTCCTGAGAGTCTCATGAGTTATGAGTCCTCCTGTAGAAGCTCTCTTATATCTGCAGGGTTTACAAAGTCTTCAAATGGTTTCCAGACAAGCTCAAAGGCAACCAACCTCTTTTTTTTATTTTTTTTTTTATAAAAATCTTCCTAACATCCAGGCACCTGTTGAAGGTGCAACAGTTTTCTTTCAGATAAGAGCTGTTATGAATTTCACTTTAAGTAAAGCAAAGTAGGTTCATTTCTATTCTTTGGTTCTTGGGATGCGATTTTTCAGAGTCACACCATAACTCCTCCATCTTAATGGACAACACTGCACACCCTATCCCCGCCCATGGCACACCTGTGCCACTTCAGCATTTGGTGCCTTTTTACACTCTTAGGTTCTGATCCACTAATGTTTTGCGTGTATAAAAACACATGCAAACTTGATAGCGCGCAAGTCCCCCACCAGTTTTAGTTGCAGAGGTTTGATTAAAGGAAAGTTTTTGATTTGTTGTTCTGAGGATATTTCCTAAATTTATATTAGACTTGTAATCGGCATATCTCCTGGTTTTGCTTACAATACTCACCTTTTCACAGATTTCACCACAATATTTCATCCCTCCCAAATCACGTTCCTTCTGGCAACACTGAGATGTCTCTGCTGGAGTTCATCAGTGTGTTTATTTTCCTCTTTCATTAAGACCTCCAACTCCATGACTCATTGACGGCCACTCTGCTCTCTCAAACTCTCCATGGTGACAGCTTGTAGCACGCACAAAATCCTCATTCAAAGAGGGCAGTCTGCACCACTTCTGCGCCTGCTAATAACTGCACATGCAATCGTTGAAGATCACCTGTAACACACCCACTAATAGCATATGCAATGTGTTTGTTTGAACACGCAATTTAGCGCTCGATATTTGGGATCTTAGTAGATCAGGCCCTAAACTGCCTCTCTCATTTGCTTCCCTACTTGCTTTGATAACTCTGTGAACAGCATGGCCCAGTCTAAGGGAATTTGAGTGGTTTCCTTTGGTCCTTCTCTTGCCTAGGTTTTTGGTCCCATTTGATGTGAGGTCTAACTGATTAAAGACGTATGACTTGGTTCTGGGCAATTTGACGTTTCAAGTTCTCTGTAGGAAATCAATGTTGTGCTTGTTACGCTAACTCTGAATCCAAGAAAAAGAAGAAATGCTGGCATCTTTCATAATCTAAAGACCATAAACTTATCCCAATACACTTATATCTCTGGGTGCTTCTCTGATTGTTTTCTGGGTTCTTATTTAAAACGAAGTCAAAGTTACTCTGAGGGACACAGTCCATGCTGTGACCCGAGGTACTCAGCAGTCACCCAACTACTGATCTAGGCCGGCCTTTAAAGAAACCAAAAATAAAAAGCTTTCATGATGAGTTTTCAGGAATCTGCATAATGTTGCCCTTATTTGAGGCATCTCATTTGTGATGGTAATTTATGCAAATTAGCCCAGAGCCAAATATCCCAGGACCACCAGAGGTTCACAGTGGATTTGCCTTCACTGGCACAAACTGGCACAACATGCCAAATTAACTAGAGACACTAATTTGGTCCTCAGGGCCACTGATGTAAAAATACTGGCTTCAGCTAGAGCAAAGGGGGAAAGGGTTTCTTTTGTTTTGTTTTACAGTGCAGTTTATGGCAACAATGATCCTTGATCACATTTATCTGAAGGTGTTTGTGAGGAGTAAAACTGTCACCTCATTCACTGAGATATTCACAGTTCAACATATGTTGTCTACATCGCACATAACACCATCTAATGTCTTCATAGTCTTCCTCTCAAACCATGTACCCTTTTATTCTTCTGGGTAAATCACAAAGATCACCACCCTTACTTGTTTTCCCCTGCTGGAGCTGGCACTGAAAAAGTGTAAATAGTGATGATTTTTATGTGAGAGATTATATCACATATGATTTCAGTTGTTTTAAGTGAGAAACTCACATTTACTGAGATTCTCTCACCAGAAATATGCCACATTTCCTGTCTCTATTAAAACAAACATTAAAAATTAACGTAATATGTTATACTGCCCTAACCCCCCGAGAGTATTGATCACAAGACTGCACATATCATCACCATCCCAGTTAGTACTTTTGCAAGGAAAAATAAATCTCAATGAGCACTTTTATTCAAAGGCTCCAGATCTGGTGCCCTGTGCTGTGTGTTTTGCTGTTTCATGGTAGGGAGGCAGCAGAGGGAGCAGGAGTGCCTGCAGGCTCAGCAAAGTGATGTAGCAAAGGCTTGTTCTGTCATGGGATTGGAGCTGGACTCCCTGGAGGCACAGAGTGGAGGGGAGGGCGAGTCCAAGAGGAGCAGCCTTTAAAGTTTGTTTATTAATGCTGGTATTACATGCAAATTCAATAGAATTAAGATACCTCGATATATTATGAAATAATTAAACATATTTTTTGGAGCTCAGACTGCCAACTTATTGATTCAGAGACAACCAACTCCACCATAAAGCTGTAACTGGTTATGTCTGACACTGGTTTTGGGTTTGGGGAAGCTGCTTCTGCAAAGCCAGATTTAGACAAACAGCCCGACTCCCACTAAACACCTCTTTTTAAAATCACAGTCATCATTTTAATCATTGTTTTTAAATCTTGACCTCATTATAAGTTCTTGAGTCGTAATTATTGCTCTCCATTTGTCCTAATCTCACTTGTATTCATTTGACTAATGCTGCAATGACCTAATGTCCCCACAGGGATCATTACACTTCCATCTCACTGATCCGTCTCACCTGCTGTCTTTTGCTCTTTTCAACAGAGGAAATGACCTTTATCTCCTGCATCATTATCCCAGCATTTTCTAATTGTGATCACACTCTCATGTGTGCTCACATTCATGTTATTGTGCCCCAATCAGCACCTTGATTCACTGTCCATGCAGAAAATGACCAAATGCTTACACTAATCAAGCATGCTTCACAAGGCTTCAGCTGCTCATTCAGCCGGTCATGCACACACTCACAAACTGAAGGCAGCAGCATGCTGTGGGCTTGAATGGAAGCCATCAGGAAGATCTGGATCAGTGTCTCAGCCAAGGGCACTTGAGGTGGGGATTCTACTGTAAACACTGTGACCAGTGTGGGACCTATTGACTCCCCAGATACAGCCTCTGATTGGTCAATAGAGCAAAACAAAAATGGCAGCCCTGATTTAGCATAGTGCACATGTACATGTCCGGTAATAATACAGCCCATGGTGATGAGTAAGCTGATAATAATTAACTGGCAGGTTTATTTATTCTATAAATGCACACATTTTTTAATGAATTGTTTGAAACTGGTAAGAAGTATTTGACTGCTGAGGTGAGCTGTTACTCAACAGCAGCTTTTTCAGTATTTTTCTGCCCTGAAAAATAGATCGGTTTTCGCTGCTGATTGTCCTACCAGCTGCTGAAAGATGAGTGAGCTGTGAAATATTAACAATTTATCAACAAGCCGTCTACAATCTGCAGCCTCAACACCACTGTGTGCCAAACTGACTGTGATATTGGAGGAGAAAGGCTGTGTCAATATATTGATGTCTTAAAAAAGTAAGATAAATTAGGGTCATTTAACATGAGGTATTGTGTGAGGTATTAATGTGGGTGTGTATCTGCAGTGTGTTAGTGTTATTGTTGGTTGTGTGCATGTGTAGATATTAATAAATATGACTTCATTATGCCCCTGACAGGCCTTGATTACATGCTTTGGTCTCTTTTGTTGTCTGTGACAGCGGATGTTCTCAGTTCTTCTGCCAAGGCTGAGGGGAAATAAAAAAAAGTACTACCACTTGTTATCTCTCCATGCCTCCCTCTCTCCTCCCCTCTAATTTAGCCAACCCGCCCTCCTCTGTGTAGAAAACCATGTGGCAGCTCTGTCATTTATGGCCTTTGTGATATAGAGATCCATTTAACATTTTCCCTGCTCTTCTCTTTGGTCTTAGCCTCTGATTTTTGCCGCAGTCAGCGTTTGTTGCAGATGTGGGCTGTTTATAAGGAGCCAAAGCCTTCATGAAATTAGCTGAGAACTGTCCCCCCAAATCCACCTTTAAGTTAGGATTGTAATTTGCCATTAATGCTGAGGAGACAAAGTAAGCCAGTTGAATCGAACCCTCTTTGTTTATTTTCACCTGGTCTATCTGGATAAGTCTATATTGCAATTGGTCTTTCACTTTGCAAAATTTACCTTCTAAATAAACATGCTTTTGAGAAAGACCAACCAAAACATGCAAGGTGGAAAGATGGTTTACAGAGAAAATGCCCCTCTATACCATGTGATACCATAGTCAGGTACATTTTTTTCCGCCTCAGTCATGGTGTTTAATTTTATGCATTTTATACATTTTTTCTGTCTTTTCTTTCAGTCATATGTAAAGGCTTCAAGCCTGAAAATGGTTAAAATCCTCACTGTTGGTGTGAATGTTTGCTATGTCCTATATCAGATGTAAAAGACTCGATAATCCCCTGTGAGTTGTTGAGAATGTTGTGGTGCTGTCCATGGTGCTGATTCAACCATCATGATGTCTCAGGGCTCTATTTCCGTGTCTGCCGGGGAGGCAGGTGGTATTTTTCATCTGGCGGACCCTGGCGTACAGCCAGTTTGGTATTTTTGTAGACTGAGGCGCACTGAGGTCCGCCAAGCTGGGCGTGGTGGCGTGGCAGGGGCAGGTGTCGACAGAATCAGCTGCCGCAGCGACATTTTTGTGCTCGCCGGCGTGTAAAGTGCGCTGAAAGCTTGCTGATTCAAATCTGGTCAGCTTTCAGCGCAGGCGAAGCGCAGCAGGGGCCTCATGTATCAACACTTGCGTGGAACTCATACCAGAAACGAGCGCACGCAAGGTCCGTCACGCTGAAAAAAATCCGTATGTATCAATGTGTGCGGGCGCCGAAATCCACGTGTGTTTACTTGATAAATCCCAATCAGCGTGGAATTGAGCGCAGATGTCGGAGTGACTGGGCCAGTCCCCGTTACGCCCTCCTATAAATATGCAGATTTATTTAAATAGGGTCTCCCTGTCCTCGCACGCAGACAAAATGACAAGAAAAACTAAATTTACGGCGTGCGAGGTGGAGGTGCTGGTGGCGGAGGTGGAGGAGCGACAGCGTGTTTTGTTTGGCAGCCTGTCCAGTGGCGTCAGTGCAAAACAAAAACGCTTGGAGTGGGAGAAAGTTTGCGAGAGGGTGAATGCGGTGGGTTCCGGGACACGCACCCCCGCGAAGATTAAAAAAAAGTGGTCGGACCTCAAGGTGGAGGTCAAGCGGCGTACAGCTGCCCTCCGGAGGAGTACCGACCAGACAGGTGGGGGTCCGGGGGAGGAGACCCTCACACCGTTTGAGCAGCGGGTGGTGGCGATTATTATTATAGGGTAAGTGGCGTGTCACACGAATGTCCACATGCTTTGTCATCCCACTGAGCAAAAGACGTATATTAAACGTCTAGTCTAAGTTTATACTTCATTTCAACGTCGGGATTCAGTCTATTTCTAGACGTGATTTATACTTCGCCCTTAACTTCATTTTTCGATAACTTTTTTTTGCAATATACAACTGTAATGTGCATAACTGACCTCGAAATACTGGATTACATTACCTATGATACCATGGAGAGAGATGTAAACGCAACAGATACACAGAAGCAGGAATTGAAATGAACCAATATTTTTATTGTGTCACAGAAATCAATGTGTCGGCCGTGTTGCCGGCTTGCGGAACCCCGGCCCGCGGCAGCCCGTCCGCCGGCTCGGAGTCGTCGGCCAGGACCAGCGGCATTTGGGCCACCCCGGCCCCCGGCCCCAGCACCAGCATCAGCACCAGCGTGCCGACAAGCGGTGGAGCGTCCCCCAGCCGCGGCGCTTCCGCTGGACCACCCGGACGCAGTGGAAGGGTCCTCGCGGAGAGGGTCCTGCGATCGCAGGAAGAAATCATCAGGGGGATCGCGGGGATCAACGAGCGGCTGGACCGGCTCGTAAATGTCCTCGAGCGTCTGGTGGAGAAAATAAATTAATTCGGCTCATTGAACTGTGTATTCACTTCTTACCCATTCACACTGGCGATGAGATTCTCCCGCGCGAGGACGGCGGCCCGGCAGGGATCAGCTCGCATCCCTCCGTCTGCTGCTGGTTCGTCATGTGGGGCGACGTGCTGCTCGGCCACGGGGATGTGGTGCACGCTTGTCACATAGTGAGTCACCAAACACCGCCACACAGCATCGCCAAAGTGCGAATCACAGTCAACGCAAGTATCGGCTCAACGCCAATTTCTACACCACCTCCTGACTTTGCGTTGATTAGCGCTGGAACCGACGCTCGTTTCGCGATGATAAATCTGGACGTGTGCGCCGATTTTGGCGTACGCAAGGTTTTCTTGCGCCGCAAGCGTTGATACATGAGGCCCCTGGTCATTTATGTGAGTACTTCAGATTAACATGTGATTTTAGCTGGAGCTGTGTCACAATAAGGACTAATTGTTGAGCTGGGGCAACAGCAGGCTAAGTGGTCTTGTGTAGACTTCTTTCAGTTCAAGCTTTGTACAAGTGTTCTTTAGGTATATAGACAACAGAGTATTACTTACCAACAATGTATGTGTGTGTGTGTGTGTGTGTGTGTGTGTGTGTGTGTGTGTGGGGGGGGGGGGTATTCATTGTTTTTCTGTTCGATATGCACATTGCTTGGTTCTTTAATAAGGTCTGTTTTAAATGCACCTTTTTCATTTCCTTTGCCTATATGTAGTCATTTCCTGATCTATTTCAATGTCTTCCTCCTACTCAAAGCCTGTTTTTAAAATGCTGTGTATGACTGTCTCTGCCCTGCTGTACTACGGTTAAAAAAAGGGTTTAATAAACAAACAACCAAACATGTGTCGTCTCTCTGTCTAAAGGGAAAGGTGAATAAAACAAAAGTGTTTGTGTGAAAACAGCTGAACTGCCATCGTTGGGGATGAGCAGAGTCCAGCTGACAGGAGTCACTGAGGCTTGCCGAGACAAATGAAGGAAATGTTAAAGCTATTGAGAGAGATAAAAACCTTAGAGAGTTTAGACCATGTTAAAGGAGGAAAGAACAACTTAAAGGAGCCTTAAACCTCCTTATTTTACTGTTAGTGACAGAACAGAAAGGTTTTATCTGTATGTCATAGGAAATGTCATTGGCATACCACAATCTAATAAAATTCTACAGCCCACACACATGCACACACCTTTTATGGTCATACATGCACATTATGAAAGTCATTGGAAATATGGCTGTCGACTTTAAACTATCAGTGGCGTTACATTTTTGGCCCAGAACTGGTATGTCCTTTGCTATTTTGACCCTTTGGCACACTATAGTTTACTGTAGC